GCTGTGCAGAGACCAGCACAGGGGGCTGTATAAGCACAGTCGGTGAGATCAGATGCCACAAGTGGGCGTTTGCCCTTTACAGTGGAGAGTGTTGTATGGAGGAGAAATTGTCTACTGTTCTGAGAACTGTAGTACTTCAGTATAGCTAGTCTTAGGAGTGACAGGAAGAACTGTGTAAGAAGAAACTGGAGAGATAGTCAGGGGCTAGATCATCAAAGCTTTGAATGCCAGGCTGAGACTTAAAACTTATCCTAAAGGCAAAAGGAATTGCTGTGGGGTTTGTGCAAGGGAGTAACATGTTTTATTTAGAGCCATCACTCTATGTAGAGTATGAACTAAAGGAGACAAGGCAGGGAGATGATGAGGAGGCTGTTGCAATCTGATTAAAGATGATGAGGAACTCTTTGGTGGCTTGATCTTTGGGTCAGTTTTCAACAAACTTTTTCAGGTTTGCAGCTAATCATATGAACTGGGGAAACTGAGAAGAGGCCACATGTTTAAAACAGGTGCATACAAGTTTGGGGCAGCCCAAATGTCACTTCCTCCAGGAAGCTCTTACTCACCTGCATGTGGGCAGAGATTAGCACTGTCTTTGGGTTTACACAGCATTTTGTCAATTTCTCCATTATAGCACTTACCACAGGCCTGGAATTATTAAGTTCTTTGTTGGTCCCTCCTCGATGAGCTTTGGACTCAATGTTAGGCACGCTGTCTTATTCATGTTTGTATCCTGAGTGTTTGAAAGTATTAATGAACATTTGCTAAGTAAGTGAATAAAGAGGAGAAGGGAGGCTGTGTGGTGGAGTGGGAAAAGCACCAAACTGGCCGTTGGGACCTGGGGCTCTAATCCTGGCTCTACTACTAAATGGCTGTGTGACTTTGAACAAGTCCTCTCACTGCTCTGGGTCTCAATTTCCTCATCTGTAAAATGAGAATAAAAATACAAGCCTCCTCCTCAGGGTGATGGAGATTAAATGAGGTAACAGAGCTCACCAGCTGCCTGCCCTGTTTGTGCCCTGCCCTAGTGAAACAGCCTAGACTATTGTTCGTCATTTGGATCTCATTTTCTCTCTCTCTCCTGGTGAGAGCCAAGCTGAAAGGTGTTGCCTTGATGGAGGGGAAGTTTGCAGCAGCGGCTCACATACCATCCAGGTGACCCCTGTGTTGTCGGAAGGGCACACACCAAAATAGGGGAGCATATTAGGCTAGAGAGAAACCTGCTTTTTTGTGACCCCTTAAAGTTAAAGGAGAACCCAAAGTGGGGAAAAGTGATGCAGAGATGTACATTATGTGCTGATAGGTCTGAGGAAGCCCTCAAACAGGGCTCCTAAGCCCAGGGATTTAGCAGCATCTGGAGGAATGCCACTTGTATGAAGACCATTCATTCATCTAATGTCATTATTTCTCAGTGCCTTGGGCTGATGTGATTAACCCTATCATTGTTTTTCAAGTTCTGAGAAGGATGTAGAGAGGTAAAAAAAAAAAAAATTGCAAATACCAAGTAAGAGGAATACCATTCTGAGAAAATGGATAATCATGATTTTAGACACTGCTATCTCAAGAGATGACAATGAATTCTGAGGCGAGGTGTCTTTCTAGAAGATCCACTAGCATTGCTCCTTTTACATTCTAAACGTAAACTTTTCCATCAAAATTTGATACATCCCCACCTTACAAAAATATGTGGTTGGGGAGGTCCTGAAATCTGCAACTGATAATTTGTAGAGTTTTCTTGGAATCCCATTTTTTTAGTCTATTTAGCTGCATGGACTTGGCCTTATCAGAAGACAAGTGGTCAAGAAAAGATGATGAGAGAGGGGGGAAAAAAGAGGGGGCCAGTGATCTTTTCTCCAAGTTTAAAGTCAGTCCTGGGGTTAAAGCTACTGACCTTAAAAAAATAATAAAAGTTTCCATTTTGCAAGGCTTTTAAAAAAATATTGTGTGCTCAGATGGCACCTTTAATCACGAAGAACTTTTGGCTGAGTTCCAGGCTGATTCTGCTGGCACAGAGAGAGCTCTGAGATCATACCCTATATTCAGTGCACAGAAGAAATATTTCATCCATCTCTGAAATAAAGAGGGAGAAATGGAACATATTTGAGCAGTTTCATAGCAAGACCATACCAGACCAGGGTGAAGAGTGAAGGACACCATATCCATTTGGAGTTAGAGAAAGTATTATTATTTCTAAGTACTTACATGGCACTTTTTTTTTTTTCATTCTCAGAGTGTTTCACAATGAACTAAGAAGCTTGCATAAATCTGAGGGCAGACAGATTTTTGTGATTTACCAAAGACTACTTAAGTTAAAAAATTAAAGTAGGGAGGCAAAGGGAGAAAAGAAAACAACTCCCAAAGTAGCAGGTTGTGACCCAGGAGTTTGAGCTGTTAGAGCTGAATTTAATCCACACCCAGGCCAAATATAATTCTTCAGGATGGAAATGGTCCAGGACACCAGAGCTAACATTCTCTACCTTTGCCAAAGAGCCTGAAGCAGTTTGGTGACAAGCAGTCAGAACCTCACTTCTATTTCTTAACTGAAAGAAAGTAAGGCCAGCATCATATGACAGGCACTTCCCACCATAGCAGGGCACTGGTTCAAGCCCATCTGAAGGAAGTGTGCTTCCCTTTGATTCATCATTGCCTCTCGCATCACTGTTATTCTTTGAAGGTCTCCTGTTCAAAGATTTATTTGTTGTAAAGTTGGGTTAATACAATTTTAGCTGGTAGGGTTGAATCACAGCTTTATTCCATGTGCCAGTCTTGAGAGCTAGATTATATACTGTGCTACTTCTTCACTATATCTCCCAAAGTGTTAGCTGTGGGAAAGGCCTGGGTGATTGCTCTGTGTATGAGAAATTGAAACCCCACTACTAAATGATGAAAAGTGGTCCAGGCAAAAGCTGCTGTGGAAATTTGAAAGTCATTATCTTTTCCACACTTCCTCTCCTACCTTCATGTTGTTTGGGAATGCACAGGGACACCTGTGAACACAAATAAACCAATTTGCCCTTGACTGATTGTTCTGCCTTTTGAGTTATCAAACGTGAGTACTTGTGGCTCCCAGATATGGTGAAGTAAAGAGACTGCTGGGAAGCCAGCCACAAATTAGAGTTGACTTTCCAGCATCTTTTACCTAGAGGAATGGTTCAGGACATTTAAATTAACAACGTGCCCTGCCCTCAAATTGATCTGGCTTCTGAATCACATTTGGATTTCAGAAATGTAAGAAAGCAAGCTTTTAAGAATCCTGATGTGTTTTCTCAGCTCAGCCCTGTCCATTCATTCTTAGTGGCTCTTTTTAATCCATGACTCTATATCCAGTCCAAACACTTTTGAGTAACTGCTCCCAGGAACCATTTCAACTTAGAGCACCTTTAAGGAAGGAAGAGCCACTCTAGGAGCCAGAGGGTGAAACATGGCAACTCTTCCACAGGCCCGAATCAATACAGCAAAGCCACTCAGAGTAGGAGGTTTTGCTAGGGCTTAAATCAGGTTGTCAAACCAAACACAATGGGCTTTGTTGCTCCTGTGTAAGGAGGAAATGGAGCAGTTTTGGCCTTCCCAGACTATTGCAGGGTCTGAAAAATGGCAATTCCAGCCACAACTTTCACACAGACCCAAATCTGCTTTTGGCAGTTCAGTGTTTCCCAGCAAGTTAATTAGCTGTTTCTGAACTACATGGAAATATTCAGCATTTTCATACTGAAGCCTATCATAGTTTCAGCTTGTGGAAGAGAAACTATGAGGGAAACAGAATAGAGCCCTTTTGGCTAGAGAATGCCAACACCTGTGACTTATCTCAGAAATCACACACGCACTATAATTGCAAGCCATTTTTTTCTGCCTCGAGCACTCTAGCTGAGGGGCCTGCTGTGGCGTCCCACTACTTATTTCAGGTGTGGGGAGTTACCTGTGGGTTCAAAAGTCGGGTGGGAAGCGCAGAGGAACTGCAACATGCCTCCTTAAGAAATGACTAACTGCTGGGGGAGAAGCCAGGACCGGGCTCAACTAGCCGCCGGGGAAGGTTGCAGGGGGCCACATCCTCACTGATCAATAAAGGTTCTGCAAGTGGGTTTGGGAACCTTTACTTTGTCAACTTCTTATATTGGGGGTGGGGTGGTGGAGGGCTGTCCCAGCGCGGTGAATGGGTCTGTGGGGAGGGACTCTGCCCCGGGACCTCCTAAGGACCATAAGAGTGCGCGTCCCGCCAAGTGACAGCATGCGCCCCTCTCCGTCCGCTCCCCTCCTCCAAGGCCAGTCTCCGGGCAGAGGTGTCTCGCGTTAGCCTGTCCTCCCCCTCTCTTCACTCTTGCGGGCGGACCGAGCCTCAGCGGGAGCCCCGCCTGTCTCCGGGCAGCCTGAGCCCACGAGCGCTCGCCCAGCCTGTCAGTAACCGCCGTTTGCGCTTTCTTTCTTTCTTTCTTTTTTTTTTTCCTCTTTTCTTCCCCCCCGCTTCTGCCTTTGTCCCGCTTAGTAACTGGGCTCAGACCAATCGTCGCCTCACCGGCCGGCGCCGGCTGGTTTCTGATTGGCCCGCTTGGGGCGCGCAGCCGTCTCCCGCTCCCTCGCTGAAGCAAGGCAGACAAAAGACGCAGACTCCGGACTCGGGCAACCGGGATCAGCCAATCACCACCCACTTTACCCTCTTTCCTCCTCCCCCCCCCTCTCTCCCCGCCCCACTCGCGTGCTTCGGGTACTGACTCCTGGCGTGCGGCCAGCGCCCGGACCGTACCATTATGATTGAGGCTGGGGGGAGAGAGGATGAACGATTAAGGAGCCGAGGTCTAGAGCTCAGTGGGAAGAGTTTAAAGCCGAGATGGAGGACAGTTTTCTGAACACTTTCTCAGGCACTTGACAGAATTCCCAGTACATTAAGGCGGTATAGAGTGGAAGGGGCAGTGGTGATGCTGGCTGTGTCCCCTGCCTGGCGCGGTTGGGTAGCGCCTCAGCGGGGGAGCTTGGGGGCGGGGGAGGGTGTCCCCCTCCGCGCCGTTAAAATGAAACTCCAGTGGCTAGAGTCAGGGCAGAGCGTGAGGGGAGCCGGCACTGGCGGGCTTCTTTACAGGCCGGCGGGCGAGCCCAGCCGAGCAGAGCTAACTGGATTCAACAACAGGCCCCAATCCCAAGGCAGCAGCAGCCTCGGTTCCGAGCCCGACGGGAACGGAGTCGGGGTCCGGGCCCCTAAGGGGATAGCTCTCTGCAGACGAGTGGGACCCCGAAACTTGAACGCAATACCCACCCCTTTTTTTTAATGCCTTCTTTTGTCACGTTTCCACCTTACTCCCAACGCGTTCATTTTTTTCTTCTTCATTCTTCCGAAGGGACACAAAAGTGGCTTCCTCTAAAAGATTTGGAGGCGCTGGGAGCTCTTCTCTTTGGAGAGCGACTGTGTAGAAGCGATTTTTGGGAAGCCGCTTTTTAACACCTTTGCCCTCCGCCCTGCAAGCCTCTCTGTACCTCTTTGAGGAGCAAAGCCCGTAGATTGAAAGTTCGGGGGGCATTTTGCTGGGCGCTGTAGAAGAGAGACGGGGAGGACCCCGTCCTCGTCCTGGTAGTTGCCTGGACTTGTACCAGCGGTTGGAAACCCCGAAGTACATTTCCGTGTAGGACTTTTACAGATACGTATTTTTAGATTCTTAAATATCAGATAAAAAAAGTATATGCTTTCTATATATTTCCTGACGACTTGCCCCTGACAGCGAGATGTACAATACGGTGTGGAGTATGGACCGCGATGACGCAGACTGGAGGGAGGTGATGATGCCCTATTCGACAGAACTGATATTTTATATTGAAATGGATCCTCCAGGTACTTGGGAGAAAAAAAGAATCTTGTGATGGGTCTGACTTGTTTAACAAGACCTTGGTGATATTTTCAGGGCAGAATTATTCCTGGGTGCGCTGGGTTTGGGATGAGGGGCAGATTTGCAGTTAGAGCTGCAGTAAACTGCTTCTGGTTTACACGTTTAAAGTTTGCAGTTAGGACCCTGATCCTATTGTCCTGCTAGGGTGGGGGTGGGGGCCAGAGTGGGGGTGGGAAGAGAGACCCGTTTCTTTTACTTATTTGCCTTTGCGTGTCGTTCAGTTTTTTGTCGTGCCCCTCCCCACCTTTTTTCTTTTCCAATTAAAGATTCTTCTACCTGCAAAGGATGCTTTATATTCCAGTCTTGAAGTCAGTCTTTCCCTTTGGGGGAATTCTCCAAAGCTTGTCATTTCATACGTTTGTCTCATTTGGTTCGTTGTGTTTTACCTTCATTAACTTCTGAAACTGGCTTGCCAGTGTGATTATTCATTTTAAGACCCCCCCCCCGCACCCCTTTTATCTTACAGAAACCAAATGCCGGTTAGTGATTTTCAGGGATTGGGCGTTTTTATTCAGTCATGGCCTTAGTCTGAGGTTTTTCTTCTCAGAATATAGTCGCTCAGAGAGATATACATGCAGTATTTTATTGCTCTTTAATTTGTGGTGATTTAATTTGTGGGATAGGGTTTAATGTAACTTCAATTCTTAGAGTAAAAAAAGGGGGAACCTTTTTTGTGCGTGAATATATGTGTACATATATGTGATAAAGGTTCAAATACATATAATGTAATGTATACATATACTGTATTTCTACTTTAGAGCTTTGTCTGAGACCCTTACAGACATTTTGTTAATCTGGTAGGAAAGGAAAAGGAAGGGAAAATGGAAAAGTTGGGTAATATATATATATATTTAAAGTCTACCCCATTTTATAATTATTAGTTGTCAGATTTTCAAACCCTGTTTGCAATTGTGGACAGTGCTTTATGTAATGATTTTGAATAAGTAGAGGGCCTTTGTGACTCCTTATTTTTGTTGAGCATTAATTTGTTATGTCTTTTAAAAATGTGTTATAGCTAAGCCTACAGAATAAATTGTGTGTCATTGGGGAACCTCAATTATTATAAGCCTGGGTATTTTTGGAAACGTTTGAAAGGATTTGAGCCCATGCAAGTGTAATGAAGTATAACTGTCTTGTAAATGTATGTAGAAATTTTTTTCTGTGCCCTTTTGATCAGTGAATTATCCTATTTGTTTTTTCTCAATTAGTCATAGTGTTAAATGATGCTATATTAAAACTAATACTAATATTGAATCAACCTTTTTCACTCTTTTAATGATCACTTAGAATTTTTTATTTTCCCTTCATTTTGGAGCCTTTGTTATTTGCTTTTATAATTGTGACTTCAATCCAGATACAGCTTTTCAGTGTTTCTCAAAGTTTGTAAGATTTGCCATCCATCTATTGTGTGTATTTCCCCCTTTGTTTCCCCCTAATGGTATAGCATCATCTCTATTAGATGTATTTGTCATTCATGTGAATGGAAATGTAGTACAACATTGGTTCTTTTCCTGTAAAAAGTAAGGTTAATAATTCTAATAATTCTAGATTTCCGTTATTATAAGAATTATATATTCAAACTGCCTTAGAATCATACCGTATATCATGTAGTATCTTGCCTTGCAGACATACAAAGGGAATTTGTTGGGCGGAGAGGTGAGTGGGGAGGAGGGGAGAACATGAAGACACTAATGTTTGAAAAATATGGGCCTAGTAGAAGAATATTGGCCAAGTTGAGCTGAGTTGTCCAAAAATGATTTTAAGAAAAGTTGACTATTATAATTATGTAGTGATGTCGGTCGTATAGAGTTGTATAGAAAATTCTGATCCAAACTTTGTATATTCCATGGAAATAAACTTTTGAGTTTAAAATATTCATCCTTGAATGAAATTTTGCATACTGAGATTCTATTCAGAATATTGAAAATATGCATATGCCGTTCTTTATTACCCATTTTATAGTCTTAATGTAGAATACTGTTAGTTATTCCTAATGATTTTTTAAAAAGAAAGCACTCTCAAGTATGCTGAAATATTGCCTATGAAGTGAATGGTTTTTAATGGAAATAATGTGAACACCAACCTTGTTTTCTGTAGTAAATTAAGTTTTTGAAATGTTTAAACTGAGTAAATTATTAGTGAAGAGGTTACAGCATGTCCTGTATCTGTCTTTTTCCTAGCTCCTAACCCAGATCAAGCTCTTATTATTTTTTGCCTGGACTGGTCTGGTAGCGCATTAACTGCTCCCATTTCTACTCTGTCCAATCTGCAGTTATTAAAGTATCATCTGATGATTTACCTTCCAAGGGTAAATCTTCCAATGACTTTAAAAACCTTCCAATGGCTTCCCTTTGCCTTCTAAAAAAAGCCCCAGATTGCTTACCCTGTCATATTAAATCCCTCTATTTTTGCTTCCAACCTAATTTTCCAGTCTGTTCTGCTGGAGTCCATCACAAGTTCTATGGAAGCTATTTTGTGCTTGCTGTTCCTTGAATATATGCTTTTTCCTCTTGCTGGGTGCCTTTCAATCCTGGTAGTTACTTGTTGAAATCTTACATATGTTTAGGGCCCAGGATAGAGGCCTTCTTTACCAGGACATATGGTCACTGATACATGGTCACTTCTGTTAGAAGACATCCTTTCCTTTTCCCTCTGTCTTCTAACACTTCTCAGATAGAACTTCTTCCATTCTGTCTAAAGTAGCTTCTGCATTTATTTATGTGTGTTTCCCCCTATGGAATTGTCTTTCCACCAGATTATGAGCTTTTTAGCTTGCTCAGGGTCTTGCAAGTACTAGACAATTTCATAAATAGGTATTGGATTATTGGGTTGTCGGAGAAGTCATGACGTATTTTTTCTATGTTTTTCGTTGCAAAAATGCATCATGACATTTCTGACAACCGTTAATAAATACCTAAGGCACACCGTTTCTTTCTAGCCTTTAAGTGATTTTCTACTTAAGGCCCTTGGTCACCTTATAACTTGGCTATTACAGTAGCTCAGGGCTAAATAACTTTTGAATTAGACAGTTGTTAACTTAGGGTCCTTAACTGTAATATTAATATTATAGTTTTTAAAATATGATCTTCATCTTAATTTTAGACTGAACCATAAATGCAAAATTGTTATTGCTTCCTGCTGCATCCAAAGCTGTTTTTCTTTTTTTCTGTTAATCCTTGTGTGTGTTTTTCCCTATTAAAAAGCTATTTTTCAAAGGTGTTTCCTTTCAGCCTTTTCAAAAACTACTATTGTCATGTATCCTGAAGGCCTTTAGTAACTTTATGGATTGCTATACCTGCTATAATTTACTGACAATGTAAGGGTTGGATCCAAATGCAAGACTGATATCTTAATTTTTATGTATTTGCGAGGAACAATAGAAATACTGAACTGTTTAAATGAAACATAAAACTTTATTTTGGAAATGTTAATATTGTGGTACAGAGAATTGCTGATAAGCATCTTGGTTAGTCCTGTTATGATTTGGGAATTGGGATTGTTCTATAACTGAACAATTGCTGGATAGGCCTCTCAAAGAGCCCTGCCTTTAGGAACTATTAGAGGATTACCAATACATGCCTGATCATAAACTCATGCCCAAAGCTTATAGATCGTGATCTGTTAGCTCGCACTTTATTTTTGACATTGTTTTTATTTTGGGAAGAGGTAATGAATGACTTCTTTTTAAAATTAGTGGATACAATTCTTTTTAAAAAGTCTGTAGACCCTTTTTGTTCTTATCAAGACAAATTTACGAAATTACCTTTAGGGCAACAACATCTCTTCAGTAGTAATTAGAAAATGTTTTAATTGTTTGGCAAAACATAAATATTAGGGAGGTTCAGAAAGTGGTTCTCAATTTTTTGGTCTCAGTACCCATTTTATACTCTTAAAAATTATTGAGGACACCAAAGACCTTCTGTTTAAGTGAGTTATAGCTATTGCTATTTACTGGATTAGAATACAACTGATGAATTTAAAAAATATTTAATTCATTTAAAAATAAAGCATTACATGTGTACATAATTTTTTTAATGAAAAAAAGCTAATTTTCAAAAAAAAAGAAGAGTGGCATTGTTTTATGTTTTTGCAAGTAACTTTAATATCTGGCTTTTTAATCTTTAATGTCTGGCTTAATAGAAGATATCGAAATTTCCATGCCTGCTCCTGCATCCAGTCTATTAAAATATCACAGGTCATAGCCTCTGGAAAACTGTATTGTACAGTTGTGAGAGAATGAGAGTGCAAAAGGCAAATAATGTGTAGTAATACTATGAAAATATGTTTGATTTCTTGGATCCTCCGAAAGGGTCTTGGGGACCGATAAAGGTCTCTGGACTATACTTTGAGAATCTAGTAGTCTAGAAGTTACCTGACTACACAGTTTGATGGCCAACCTAATAAAGTATCTTCTGACTTTTTTGAAGTCATGAAAAGATTGTTTCAGGAAACTTAATTGCTTACTCTGGCATACTTGGCATTTTTATCCTGGTAAAATTTCAGTTAAGTAACATTCTGGTGGAGAACTGGCATGCTGGCCCTGTGGTCGGGGAAAATATCTGCTGAGGAACACACTGCAGAAATGGTTACCTGCCACTGTGTGGTCCTTACTATTAGCAGGTTGGGCATTCTACGTCTATGGTTGAACAATTCTTTATAACTCTGAACATTTGATGGGTTCATCTTATATATAAATGCTTCTGTGTGTGGTAAGATATTTCTTTCATAAGCTAGGTGTCAGTTTTAAATGATATAGTATGGGACAATGTTAATATCAAATGATATAAAAGTCATATGAATTTTTTTCACATCTTATTGAAAAAGATTAGTCATTGCTTTCATTTAATATACTATAGTTTATAGTTTTCCAACTATTTCATTAGAAGTATGGTGATTCTCCCTTGCATAATGCTTTTAAAATTTATTCTCATCATTGTTTTTATGT